GTCTCAACCCTTTCTTGTCCATACGTCTCAACCCTTTCTTGTCCATACGTCTCAACCCTTTCTTGTCCATACGTCTCAACCCTTTCTTGTCCATACGTCTCAACCCTTTCTTGTCCATACGTCTCAACCCTTTCTTGTCCATACGTCTCAACCCTTTCTTGTCCATACGTCTCAACCCTTTCTTGTCCATACGTCTCAACCCTTTCTTGTCCATACGTCTCAACCCTTTCTTGTCCATACGTCTCAACCCTTTCTTGTCCATACGTCTCAACCCTTTCTTGTCCATACGTCTCAACCCTTTCTTGTCCATACGTCTCAACCCTTTCTTGTCCATACGTCTCAACCCTTTCTTGTCCATACGTCTCAACCCTTTCTTGTCCATACGTCTCAACCCTTTCTTGTCCATACGTCTCAACCCTTTCTTGTCCATACGTCTCAACCCTTTCTTGTCCATACGTCTCAACCCTTTCTCGTCCATACGTCTCAACCCTTTCTTGTCCATACGTCTCAACCCTTTCTTGTCCATACGTCTCAACCCTTTCTTGTCCATACGTCTCAACCCTTTCTTGTCCATACGTCTCAACCCTTTCTTGTCCATACGTCTCAACCCTTTCTTGTCCATACGTCTCAACCCTTTCTTGTCCATACGTCTCAACCCTTTCTTGTCCATACGTCTCAACCCTTTCTTGTCCATACGTCTCAACCCTTTCTTGTCCATACGTCTCAACCCTTTCTTGTCCATACGTCTCAACCCTTTCTTGTCCATACGTCTCAACCCTTTCTTGTCCATACGGCTCAACCCTTTCTTGTCCATACGTCTCAACCCTTTCTTGTCCATACGTCTCAACCCTTTCTTGTCCATACGTCTCAACCCTTTCTTGTCCATACGTCTCAACCCTTTCTTGTCCATACGTCTCAACCCTTTCTTGTCCATACGTCTCAACCCTTTCTTGTCCATACGTCTCAACCCTTTCTTGTCCATACGTCTCAACCCTTTCTTGTCCATACGTCTCAACCCTTTCTTGTCCATACGTCTCAACCCTTTCTTGTCCATACGTCTCAACCCTTTCTTGTCCATACGTCTCAACCCTTTCTTGTCCATACGTCTCAACCCTTTCTTGTCCATACGTCTCAACCCTTTCTCGTCCATACGTCTCAACCCTTTCTTGTCCATACGTCTCAACCCTTTCTTGTCCATACGTCTCAACCCTTTCTTGTCCATACGTCTCAACCCTTTCTTGTCCATACGTCTCAACCCTTTCTTGTCCATACGTCTCAACCCTTTCTTGTCCATACGTCTCAACCCTTTCTTGTCCATACGTCTCAACCCTTTCTTGTCCATACGTCTCAACCCTTTCTTGTCCATACGTCTCAACCCTTTCTTGTCCATACGGCTCAGCCCTTTCTTGTCCATACGTCTCAACCCTTTCTTGTCCATACGGCTCAACCCTTTCTTGTCCATACGTCTCAAGCCTTTCTTGTCCATACGTCTCAACCCTTTCTTGTCCATACGTCTCAACCCTTTCTTGTCCATACGTCTCAACCCTTTCTTGTCCATACGGCTCAACCCTTTCTTGTCCATACGTCTCAACCCTTTCTTGTCCATAGGGCTCAACCCTTTCTTGTCCATACGTCTCAAGCCTTTCTTGTCCATACGGCTCAACCCTTTCTTGTCCATACGTCTCAACCCTTTCTTGTCCATACGTCTCAACCCTTTCTTGTCCATACGTCTCAACCCTTTCTTGTCCATACGTCTCAACCCTTTCTTGTCCATACGTCTCAACCCTTTCTTGTCCATACGTCTCAACCCTTTCTTGTCCATACGTCTCAACCCTTTCTTGTCCATACGTCTCAACCCTTTCTTGTCCATACGTCTCAACCCTTTCTTGTCCATACGTCTCAACCCTTTCTTGTCCATACGTCTCAACCCTTTCTTGTCCATACGTCTCAACCCTTTCTTGTCCATACGTCTCAACCCTTTCTTGTCCATACGTCTCAATCCCTTTCTTGTCCATACGTCTCAACCCTTTCTTGTCCATACGTCCTCAACCCTTTCTTGTCCATACGTCTCAACCCTTTCTTGTCCATACGTCTCAACCCTTTCTTGTCCATACGTCTCAACCCTTTCTTGTCCATACGTCTCAACCCTTTCTTGTCCATACGTCTCAACCCTTTCTTGTCCATACGTCTCAACCCTTTCTTGTCCATACGTCTCAACCCTTTCTTGTCCATACGTCTCAACCCTTTCTTGTCCATACGTCTCAACCCTTTCTTGTCCATACGTCTCAACCCTTTCTTGTCCATACGTCTCAAACCCTTTCTTGTCCATACGTCTCAACCCTTTCTTGTCCATACGTCTCCTCAACCCTTTCTTGTCCATACGTCTCAACCCTTTCTTGTCCATACGTCTCAACCCTTTCTTGTCCATACGTCTCAACCCTTTCTTGTCCATACGTCTCAACCCTTTCTTGTCCATACGTCTCAACCCTTTCTTGTCCATACGTCTCAACCCTTTCTTGTCCATACGTCTCAACCCTTTCTTGTCCATACGTCTCAACCCTTTCTTGTCCATACGTCTCAACCCTTTCTTGTCCATACGTCTCAACCCTTTCTTGTCCATACGTCTCAACCCTTTCTTGTCCATACGTCTCAACCCTTTCTTGTCCATACGTCTCAACCCTTTCTTGTCCATACGTCTCAACCCTTTCTTGTCCATACGTCTCAACCCTTTCTTGTCCATACGTCTCAACCCTTTCTTGTCCATACGTCTCAACCCTTTCTGTCCATACGTCTCAACCCTTTCTTGTCCATACGTCTCAACCCTTTCTTGTCCATACGTCTCAACCCTTTCTTGTCCATACGTCTCAACCCTTTCTTGTCCATACGTCTCAACCCTTTCTTGTCCATACGTCTCAACCCTTTCTTGTCCATACGTCTCAACCCTTTCTTGTCCATACGTCTCAACCCTTTCTTGTCCATACGTCTCAACCCTTTCTTGTCCATACGTCTCAACCCTTTCTTGTCCATACGTCTCAACCCTTTCTTGTCCATACGTCTCAACCCTTTCTTGTCCATACGTCTCAACCCTTTCTTGTCCATACGTCTCAACCCTTTCTTGTCCATACGTCTCAACCCTTTCTTGTCCATACGTCTCAACCCTTTCTTGTCCATACGTCTCAACCCTTTCTTGTCCATACGTCTCAACCCTTTCTTGTCCATACGTCTCAACCCTTTCTTGTCCATACGTCTCAACCCTTTCTTGTCCATACGTCTCAACCCTTTCTTGTCCATACGTCTCAACCCTTTCTTGTCCATACGTCTCAACCCTTTCTTGTCCATACGTCTCAACCCTTTCTTGTCCATACGTCTCAACCCTTTCTTGTCCATACGTCTCAACCCTTTCTTGTCCATACGTCTCAACCCTTTCTTGTCCATACGTCTCAACCCTTTCTTGTCCATACGTCTCAACCCTTTCTTGTCCATACGTCTCAACCCTTTCTTGTCCATACGTCTCAACCCTTTCTTGTCCATACGTCTCAACCCTTTCTTGTCCATACGTCTCAACCCTTTCTTGTCCATACGTCTCAACCCTTTCTTGTCCATACGTCTCAACCCTTTCTTGTCCATACGTCTCAACCCTTTCTTGTCCATACGTCTCAACCCTTTCTTGTCCATACGTCTCAACCCTTTCTTGTCCATACGTCTCAACCCTTTCTTGTCCATACGTCTCAACCCTTTCTTGTCCATACGTCTCAACCCTTTCTTGTCCATACGTCTCAACCCTTTCTTGTCCATACGTCTCAACCCTTTCTTGTCCATACGTCTCAACCCTTTCTTGTCCATACGTCTCAACCCTTTCTTGTCCATACGTCTCAACCCTTTCTTGTCCATACGTCTCAACCCTTTCTTGTCCATACGTCTCAACCCTTTCTTGTCCATACGTCTCAACCCTTTCTTGTCCATACGTCTCAACCCTTTCTTGTCCATACGTCTCAACCCTTCTTGTCCATACGTCTCAACCCTTTCTTGTCCATACGTCTCAACCCTTTCTTGTCCATACGTCTCAACCCTTTCTTGTCCATACGTCTCAACCCTTTCTTGTCCATACGTCTCAACCCTTTCTTGTCCATACGTCTCAACCCTTTCTTGTCCATACGTCTCAACCCTTTCTTGTCCATACGTCTCAACCCTTTTCTTGTCCATACGTCTCAACCCTTTCTTGTCCATACGTCTCAACCCTTTCTTGTCCATACGTCTCAACCCTTTCTTGTCCATACGTCTCAACCCTTTCTTGTCCATACGTCTCAACCCTTTCTTGTCCATACGTCTCAACCCTTTCTTGTCCATACGTCTCAACCCTTTCTTGTCCATACGTCTCAACCCTTTCTTGTCCATACGTCTCAACCCTTTCTTGTCCATACGTCTCAACCCTTTCTTGTCCATACGTCTCAACCCTTTCTTGTCCATACGTCTCAACCCTTTCTTGTCCATACGTCTCAACCCTTTCTTGTCCATACGTCTCAACCCTTTCTTGTCCATACGTCTCAACCCTTTCTTGTCCATACGTCTCAACCCTTTCTTGTCCATACGTCTCAACCCTTTCTTGTCCATACGTCTCAACCCTTTCTTGTCCATACGTCTCAACCCTTTCTTGTCCATACGTCTCAACCCTTTCTTGTCCATACGTCTCAACCCTTTCTTGTCCATACGTCTCAACCCTTTCTTGTCCATACGTCTCAACCCTTTCTTGTCCATACGTCTCAACCCTTTCTTGTGAATACCACATCAGTGACAGCCAGGCTTTGAAATCCCCCTCTCATACGATCCCCCATTACTCCACGCCCATTTCTCGCCCCCCTAGATAGCCACGTGTAGAGAGGGTGTTATTGAGACGTCTCAGAAATCCCCCTCTCTCATACGATCCCCCGTTACTCCACGCCCATTTCTCGCCCCCTAAATCACCCTTTTTTTTTTCGTTTCCCTCCCCCAAATTGCTCCAGCCGGCACGGCCAGTGGAGCCACCAGAGCGGCTCTTACACAACACTTCGCTAAAAGGCAGAACGCTGCAGACATCTCCGCCAAGGTACTGTATAGGCGCTCCTTTGAACCATTGTTTGGTGCAATGTTCTTGCGAGTTTATAGGGGGAGGTAGGAGGTTGGAGGGAGGAGGGAGGCGGGAGGAGGGAGGAGGGAGGAGGGAGGAGGGAGGAGGGAGGAGGGAGGAGGGAGGAGGGAGGAGGGAGGAGGGAGGAGGGAGGAGGGAGGAGGGAGGAGGGAGGAGGGAGGAGGGAGGAGGGAGGAGGGAGGAGGGAGGAGGGAGGAGGGAGGAGGGAGGAGGGAGGAGGGAGGAGGGAGGAGGGAGGAGGGAGGAGGGAGGAGGGAGGAGGGAGGAGGGAGGAGGGAGGAGGGAGGAGGGAGGAGGGAGGAGGGAGGAGGGAGGAGGGAGGAGGGAGGAGGGAGGAGGGAGGATGGAAGAGCGAGCAGGGAGCAGGGAGAGGGAGTAGAGAGTAGCTGTATGTGTGCGTGTATCGTGCATGTACATCGTTCCTAGAACCACGTGTATTGAGGTGATTTTTGAGGCGCCTGAAAAATCACCTTAATACATCGTTCATACAAGCATGCATGCGTGCAAGCACACACGCACACGTTATCTCCTCTCTCCTCCCACCCGATGTGACTTTTGAGTCGACCCAAACGTCTCTCCTCCCACCTGATCCCGCTGACACGCACACAATCAGGAGGGCAGTCAGGAGACGGCAGCAACGATGGCAGGCATGCTGGCGGGGATGGTGGTGGGGCAGCTCGTGGCTGGCAATGTGCTGCTGCTGTGGGCTGTCTTCCTCTCCCTCACTGCTTTCCACGTCTATGGTACTGTGTGGACTGGCATGCTAGTGTGCATGCTGGCAGGGATGGTGGCAGGGATGGTGGCAGGGATGGTGGCAGGGATGGTAGAGAAGCATTTCAGGGATGATAGAGGGGCATTTCAGGGATGTTGGTAGGGATGGTAGAGGGGCATTTCAGGGATGGTGGCAGGGATGGCATCGCCCTGTGAGCATCGCCCTGTGAGCATTTGTAATTCACGAACATGACACGACGGTATTGCCACCTCTGCCACCTTTCCCCCCCCCCCCCCCACCCAACACCTCTCCACAACACTACAAACAGAGCAGCCAGCTACCTAGCGATTCAGAGCATATGCCTGACACACACAAACAATACTGCCCGCCTTCTCCCCACAGCCCCTCTCAACACCCCCCCTTTCTCCCACGCTACAAACAGAGCAGCCAACTACCGTGCCTTGAAGAGCCTGTGCCTCACGAGCCTCAACAATATTTCCTGATACTCCCCATACCCCTCACTCTCCCACAACCCCACGCTACAAACAGAGCTGCCAACTACCGTGCCGTGAAGCGCCTGTGCCTCACGAGCCTCAACAATATTTCCTGATACTCCCCATACCCCTCACTCTCCCACAACCCCACGCTACAAACAGAGCAGCCAACTAGTGCGCTGTGAAGCACCTGTGCTGTGAAGCACCTGCGCTGTGAAGCACCTGCGCTGTGAAGCACCTGCGCTGTGAAGCACCTGCGCTGTGAAGCACCTGCGCCTGACAAACACAACAACACCACTCGCTTCTCCCCTCTGTGTCTCAACCCCGCCACACTCCTCCCGGCCCCCACCCCTTTCCAACAGAGCAGCCAACTACCGCGCTGTGAAGAGCCTGTGCCTCACGAGCCTCAATCGAGAGAGGGTGGCACTGTTGCTGCTGGCGTACCGGGGCGAGCAGAAGCAAGGTGAGGGGTGCAGAGGGATGCAGAGGCAAGGAGATGGAAGGTGGAGGGTATAGGGGGGTGCATGGGTTGGGGATATGCAAGCTGTGGAATGTAGAGTTATTTGTGGTTGAGAGGTGAGCGATGGTTTAGACAGTGCTGGGTATCTATCAATGGGGGTTCTTATTGCGCTGTGCCATAGTCTTGAACAATGTGTCTGGAAAGTCCCACTCCCTCTCACCCCCCCCCCCCCCCCCCCCTTCTTCCCACTCCCCGCCGTTCCTTCCTACTCCCCCCCACTCCCCCCTCACCCCTTGGCAGTAATCTCACCAACTGCTGTCTCTCTACGGGAGCGCCTCATTCCCTCCCTGCCTCAGGACAGCCACGGCAGGGCGCACATGCTCATGGGGCATGTGCACTTGGGGGCTCGCTTGAGTGACTTGCACAGCAAGAAATTGTATGTATACATGTACATATACATATACATATACATACATGTACATGTACATAATTTATACACACGCAAACACACAAACATAATACATACACAAACATTCATTTAGATATGTATACATGTGCATATACAGTGTTCTTCTTTTGACCTTTCCATCATCCTTATTGTTGGCTGCTCACCTGCCTGCCCGCTTCGCGCTGGCTCATCCTTTCTTGCTTTTTGCTCATCCTCTGTCTTGCTTCTCGTCCTCACTACGGTCCCCGTTCCCCACTCCTCTCCCCATTCCCTCCACCCGCTGTCTGCTTTACTTCCTGCCCTGTCGGGCCTCCCCGTCTGCTCGTCGCCCCCTCGCTAGAGACCTTGCTGTGCGGCAAGCCATCAGACGCTATGCCAAAGGTGGGCATGCGATTCGCACACTCTGAGCCTGCACTGTTTGTGAACGCCCTGCATCTCGTGAACGCCACCTCTCAATCCACTCTGCCTCTTATCGCACTCTGCTTCGCTGTGCCCATCTCCATGCTGCTTCAATATGAATCGATGCAACAGTGGGCTCCACACTCTCCCTCGTCTCAACGCACATACAACCGATGCTTTCCTGCTTTCTTGTCCGCATCTCCTTCGAGTCCCAGCCGGCTCTAATGGCCTCTGCAATTCTGAAGTTGTCTCACCCTTCAATTCCCGACACCACACTCTGCTCTGAGCAAAGAACTCGCTCATATTCCTCCCCACCATCTACCAATTGTATACAACATCCCCCCCCTATTCCTATGCTCCTCTCCGCTCTCTCCAATCCCTTGATCTCCATCCCCCCCAGGTCGTTACCTTCTGGTGTTCAAACCCACAAGATCACCATCGTTACAATCACATTCTCCACCAACACCATCACCATCGTTACAATCACAATCTCCACCAGCACCATCACCATTGTTGCCACATGTCCATGCCATCATCCATCGAGATGCATCGAATGCGGACGTGCTTCGGGCATACATCCACACTCTCAAAGCCCTCGAAGAGATCTGGCAAGAGGCTCGGAATGCAGTAGGCTCGGCAGGGAGTGAAGCTTCGTCGAGGCTGTCACTCGTGGAGGCGGCGGAGGCTCGGGCAGCTGCCTGGATGGCGTCAGAGTATTCGCAGTTTCTAGACAAGGTGAGTTTGATTGTGGAGCCTGCATAAATGTATTCTTTTGTTATTATGATGCCAATATCAGTGTCGTTCTCCCCACCTTTTGCTCACCAATTTTGTAAGATTTTGGTGTTCATGATCTCTGTGGTTGTGCTCGAAGCTCTCCGCTGCCCACTGGGCAATCAACGTCGTGCAACTGCCACCAGGGGAATGGCGGGCGGACTGGCCGCAATCTTCTTTAGATTAGGCAGTCGGGTCTTGAATTATCAACAACCATTGCGTGTGATTCTTAAGAAATTGATTATACCACTTAATTGGTCCGTGTTTCCCCTCATTTGATAGTATTTTAATGTGTTCTGTGCAAGAGCTGAACTGCTCATATTGCACTTTTCTGGTTATCAGTGAGGTGGTTTCGTTGCACAAATCTTGGATGGCATCAAGTGTCGCTGTTGCGAGCGACAAGTGCGGCCACAGTGTTCAAAGTGCCAGCTGCTACCGTCCAAAATCTGGGCGCCAGCACTTCCCCCCCAGGGCATACCGTCTGCAAAACCCTTCCAAGTCCGAGCCGCACCTGGACGCGCCGCATTCCGCAATTTGAATCCCACCCACCTCCAGCCAACTCGGTCGTGCACAATTTCATCAGCATTCCAGGAGCAACAAGGGTTCCGCCTCTTCAAATTCATCACAACCGTTAGGCAGTAATGCTTAGTCACTAACTGTTATAGTCACAATAGGCTTGAATGTGCCTAAAACGAAAGATAGAGAGCACAGACGGATTTCTGCACAGCGGCTTCAAACGTTGATAGCGTTCTGCTCACAGCTGCAAATGACTTGATTCAAATTGGATCTGGAGCGTCTTCACGTCGTCTACAATTAGCAATTTAGATTGCACGATTTGATAAAGAATTGACGACACAGCGTCGGTTTGAACGAACGGTACTATGGCAGCCACTATAGTCTTAGAACACAAGATAGGAAGAGTTACGAGTTGGGAATGACTCCCAGCTCCTACAAACCCCAAGAGCCGAGGTACAGTGATGTGGAACAGTGCCACACTGTCCCCAACCACGAAGGGTCTCGAAACTACCCTTCACTAGGGCCTACACCAAGTGAAATGTTACACTACACAAAGTAATGTAACTATCTTCAATATCTTGAGGTGTACCCTTTTGGCGAGCTTCGAAATCACTTGAGGCTTGACACCAAGGCTCGGGCTCTTCATCACAAACTCATCCTTGAGTTCTTGATGGGTCTGCTGCACACACCTGCGACACGCCGAACGTTCGACACAGGACAAAATAGAAACCGCGCACGACAAAATAGAAACCGCGCGCGAGACACAAACGACCGCGTAACACGCGTCTAGCGATAACTCAACTTCCAATGCTGCTGCTCCACCAGCCTCTTGGTCATCATGTCAGCCGGCTGCCCCGTGGTCTTCACGTAGCGCAACTCAACTTCACCCGCGGTTACCATGCTCCTCGTCCAATGCCACTTCACCCTCATGTGCTTCGTGAGTCCATGCAACACAGGGTTCTTAGCAAGAGCAATGGCACCCTGGCTGTCACAGTACAGTGGGGTAGGTCCTTGCTGCTCCTCCCCCAATTCAGCCAACAAACGCCGCTGCCACACAATCTCCCGTACGGCACGGAAGAGTGCCATGTACTCGGACTCCACCGAGCTCAAAGCTTGGTCAACCTGCTTCTTGCTCTCCCAAGCAGTTGGGCCTCCACCAACACAGCATTTGAAGCCTCCCACACTTGTCATGTCCTCTGGTTCTGATGCATATGAAGCATCCGAGTAGGCGGTGAGGAACAAACGCCCGGGTTCAACACCATCCGCGCCCTTTTGGCGCCTTTGTGCCGCCGCCGAGTATTGCAGCCCAACGGTCGGTGTTTGGCCAAGATACTTGGCCACCCTCATTCCAGCTGCTACCTGCTCCTCATTAGGGCATTGCACAACCCTAGCCAGCTGCCCGGTAGCAAACGCGACGTCCGGTCGGGTGTTTACCGCCGCATACATGAGGCTGCCCACCAACGAGTGAAATCGGCGCCTCTCCTCTTCACCAACGCTCTCCTCCTCTGGTCCCTTCACACACTTGAACCCAGAGGGAAAGGGTGTAGCCACATGGCCTTCACTCTGCCCAAAGTTGGCAGCCAATGCCTCCAGGTACTTTCGTTGATGCACCCGCATGCACCGCTTCTCCACATCTCGTTCGATGTGGAGCCCAAGGTAGAAGCTCACGTCACCAAGGGCCTTGCACTTGAACTTGTCTTGAAGCTTCAGCATCGCCTCCTTCACAAGGTCAGAAGAGGGTGAGAAAATGAGGATGTCATCCACATGAACCACCATGAAACTCCTCTGCTCCCCCTCGCCAAGCATGAACAAGGAGTGATCGGCCGTTGAGGGAGTGAAGCCGATCCCCTCCAACACTTCGCGCAGCTTCATGTACCATTGCCTAGGGGCCTGCTTCAGCCCATAGAGGGCCTTCTTCAGCTTCCACACTCTGCCACTACCATCATCAAACCCCTCTGGCTGCGCCATAAAAATCTCCTCCTCAAGGATGCCGTTAAGGAATGCCGTTACGATGTCCATTTGCTTTACTACCCATCCTTTGATGGCGGCTCCCGCGAATAGGGTTCGCAGCGTCGTCGGCTTCACCACAGGGGCAAACAGCTCCTTGGAGTCCACCTTCTCCTTCTGCTGGTACCCCTTGGCTACAAGCCTAGACTTGTAGCGCTCGATCTTGCCGTCGGCATCCGACTTGATTTTGAAGAGCCACTTGGACGTTATCGCCGTACGCCCCTCCGGTAGCTCCACCAATTCAAACGTGTCATTCTCCTCGATGCTCTTCAGCTCACTCTCCATGGCCTTCTTCCACTCCTCAGCATCACTACTCTCCAAAGCCTCCTTGAGAGTTGCTGGTTCTCCCGGCATCTCCACCGGAGAGAAGAACGCGAAGGCACACTCCTCGTAGTCACTCTCCTCGTCGTCTCCGACCATCATTGCCGCTCCGGCCAGGGCTGTCTTGCCCTGCTTTCCCGGCGCATCATAGGTCAGCCTATTAGGGGGTTGAACTCTCCTCTTCCCCCTTCCTTCCTCCTCAGCTGCAGGGACTTGAAGGCCTTGGCGTTGCTGCGGTGTGGCTCGAATCCGTGGAGCACTCGTAGTACGGGAAGGGAGTGACGGTGCACGCTCGCTCACTTGCTGCACCTCCTCCTCTTCTTCCTCTGCATCATTGGCCTCCTCTCCCCCATTCACAAGGGAGGATTGCCTTGTGGTTGTGCTGCCGCTGCTCAGCTCCAAAGGCAGCTCCACATGCTCCAAACCGGAACTCTTCACCTCCCCAAACCGCACGCCTATCTTCGCCTCATTCTCCGCCTTCCAGTCCTTGTACATGAAGTTCTCCATGAACTTGCAGTCCCTGCTCACCAAGAACTTCTTGGTGAATGGGTCCCAAAGAAGCCATCCCTTGCTGTTTTGAGCCATGCCCAAGTGCACGGCCCACACCGCCTTGGCACCAAGCTTGTTGTGCCGAAGATGCTTAGGCACGAGCGCCATGCACATGCACCCGAACACCCGAAGCATATCCACCTTTGGCTTCCTTCCTAGCCACTCCACATAGGGCACCCATTTGTCTGCTCCCACATGAGTCAAGGCTCTGTTCTTGGCCACACACGCGCTCCGCACCGCATCAGGCCAGAAATAGTCGGGTAGCCCGGCTTCAATGAGCAACCCGCGTGCCGCCTCCGTGATTGTGCGGTTCGCTCGCTCGGCGATGCCGTTCATTGCAGGGGAGTATGGCATGGTGAGGGAGTGCCGAATACCATTCTTCTTCAGCCACAACCCAAACTCCTTGCTCAGGAACTCTCCCCCTCGATCGGTGCGGATTGACTTGACTAGACGGTCTTGTTGCCGCTCCACCATCGGGAACCAATCCGTCTTCAACGTTTCAGCCACGTCGCTCTTCTTGGCCAGCACGTACACCCAAGTCATGCGGGTGTAGACGTCAACAATGGTGAGAAAATACTCAGCTCCAGCAGCTCCAAGCTTCAGGGGGCCCACCACGTCCATCACCACCTCATCAAGCGGTGCCTTTGCCGTTGCCTCCGAACTAGGGAACGGAAACCGGGTGAACTTGGCTTGAATGCACGTCGCGCAGCCAAGCACCTCATCGGGCTCCCCCTTCACACGTATGCCAGCAACCATCTCATTCTTCACTAGCTGCTGCAAGATGGGCAGGGCCACATGCCCCATGCGCCGATGCAAGGTGAGCCAATCACACTCCCCCGTAGCCGAAGTTGGATTGGAGAATGCCGCGCTCGCAATAGCGCCCCACATACTCTCTCCGTAGTCCTCCTCCGCTGCTGCTTCTGGGTTCTCCTCACCCTTTTGCTGCTCCTTGGTTGCTGCACCACTCTCCTTAGGTTCACTGAACTTGCTGGTCCCTCCAGGTTTGCTCTTCTTGAGCTCATTCTCCTTAGCGCGACCGTTCGCGCCATCGTCGCTACCGACCGCTCCATCCTTGGTGCTGATGCTTGCTGCCACTTGCCTCTCCTTAGGCATAGGGACCACTGGGATCTGCCACATCTCGTTGTAGACATCCCTGTCCTCATGAAGGTCCCAAAGAATTCGATCGCCAAGCCTTGCGGTGTAGGTCTTGGCTCCCTTCGAGTTCGTGTCCATGCCGGCCTTTGCCAACCGCCGCACGGAAATCAGGTTTGCAGCAAGGCTGGGCACCCAAAGCATGTTCTTGAGGCCCACCATCTTCCCATCAGCACCCTTGAACATGGCCTTGCCCATGCCTTTCACCTCTGCTCGCTGCCCCAAAGCCGATGTGACATGCTTCACCGGTGACGGCTCGAGTTCGGTGAGCAAGTCCGGGCGAGGTGTCATGCTATAGGTAGCGCCACTATCAATCACCCAATAGTCCAGGGGGTGTAGGGTCACCTTCCCCACAGCTGCTGGCTCCTCAAAGCCTTCATCCTTCTCTGGACCAGCCGGTACTTGCGTCGACACGAAGTAGAATAGACCCGGGTATCGATCGTCGCTCGGGTCCTTGTCGTTGTCTCCGCTCTTCATGTTTGCAGCTCCGCCACCGCGACCGCCACGGTCTCCACGGCCTCGTCCTCTCCCTCCTCCTGCTCCTCTACCCTCTTGGCCTTGAGCAGGGGTCCAACCATCAGGGAGTTTGTAGCAGTCGCGCCACATGTGTCCGATCTTGTGGCAATAGTGACACTCGCCGTCGAATCGGCCGCGACCGCGTCCGTAGCTCTTGTCGTCGCTGCCGTAACCGCCACTCCTGCGGCCTCCGCCGAAGTTGCTGCCACCAAACCTTCCTCCCCCTCGTCCTCTGCCTCTTCCTCGACCATATCCACGGCCGATGCTCGCTGCCCCAGCGCCATCCGCACTCGCCAACTCACGGCGGCGGAAATCCTCTTGAAGGATAGCTCGCTTCACGTCTTCAAGCGAGAGGCGGGGCAAGTCGCGATTAAGGTTGATGATGAGCGAGGACCATGACTCTGGGAGTAAGGCCAGCAACTTGGTCTTCTTTTGGAGCTCAATGTAGTTCAAATCAGCTCCCTCAAGCCGCGTCAACAAGTCGAAGAATTTCTGCACCCCTTCTTCAACCGCTTCGTCTTCTTCAATTCGTAGTGCCGCCATTTGCCGTTCCAACACCACCGCTACCGCCGCTGTTGCAGGAGCATGTACACCCTTGAGAGCAGCCCATGCCTTTGGTCCTTTCTCTGGTTCACGCTGGAATGGCTTGATGTGACGGATCTGACTGCTCCCCAACGCTTGCCCAAGTAAGAGATAGCCTTGTGCGCTCTTCCGCACCCACGGGTTCTTCTCCGGGTCGTTCTCGGGGCGCTTCTCCGTTCCTTCCATCACCTCCAGCAGGTCATAGTGGTCAAAGATGTTCTCCATCTTGAAGGACCATTCAGCAAAGTTGTCACCGTTGAACTTGTCAAGCCCAAACACCCTAGGCTCATCCCTAGGTGGGCCAAGACTTGGTTGCATGGGCGCCATGGCTGAATCACGGGGTTGGCCTTGAGCTTGAGCTTCTCCACTGCCACCAGCACCTCTGCCACCCCTTTCCTCAGGTCCAGACATTGTCGAAACTGCTCCAAGGGGCTCTGATACCACTTGTTATAGTCACAATAGGCTTGAATGTGCCTAAAACGAAAGATAGAGAGCACAGACGGATTTCTGCACAGCGGCTTCAAACGTTGATAGCGTTCTGCTCACAGCTGCAAATGACTTGATTCAAATTGGATCTGGAGCGTCTTCACGTCGTCTACAATTAGCAATTTAGATTGCACGATTTGATAAAGAATTGACGACACAGCGTCGGTTTGAACGAACGGTACTATGGCAGCCACTATAGTCTTAGAACACAAGATAGGAAGAGTTACGAGTTGGGAATGACTCCCAGCTCCTACAAACCCCAAGAGCCGAGGTACAGTGATGTGGAACAGTGCCACACTGTCCCCAACCACGAAGGGTCTCGAAACTACCCTTCACTAGGGCCTACACCAAGTGAAATGTTACACTACACAAAGTAATGTAACTATCTTCAATATCTTGAGGTGTACCCTTTTGGCGAGCTTCGAAATCACTTGAGGCTTGACACCAAGGCTCGGGCTCTTCATCACAAACTCATCCTTGAGTTCTTGATGGGTCTGCTGCACACACCTGCGACACGCCGAACGTTCGACACAGGACAAAATAGAAACCGCGCACGACAAAATAGAAACCGCGCGCGAGACACAAACGACCGCGTAACACGCGTCTAGCGATAACTCGCTATTGACTAGACACACACACTCGACATCATGACTCAACATTCACACACAATTATAAGCATGAAATATATATTATCCCATGCCCTCATACCATTCCATACACACACACATTCACGCACACGGACAACAAGCCGAGTGCAAACCGTAGGGTTGCACCAACACTAACCACAACAACCATTGACAACTAGCTTCTAAAAAGCCACAATTTTCGGCATACATGATCACTACGGGATTTGTTTTCAGGTTACGCTAGTTTCTCCCCACATATCAGGCCATCGACTATACAGGATCACTGTAGGCGCGATTCTGCTGAGCTATAATTGAGTGTTTCTTCGCGAAGGAGTGAAAATGGCGTCAAGAACAACGCTGCTATTCGTTCTGGTCCTACTCCTGCCTGCTTCATGTACGTTTACTGGAAGCGCAGGTTTTATCTCGCAGATATCCTTTCCGAGCGGAGGAAAGCTTTTCTATTCAGCTAGGACCTCATACTTTGTTGTTTCAATTGTTCTCCCTTCTGCTCTCTCTCCCGCCTTTGCCTCTTCGCCTCTCTGTGTCTGACGCTAAACATTCTTTTCTATGCGGTGCCCCGTTATAACGCAGGCTCATTCGCGCAAACGCGGAACGGCCGCGCCATCAACTGGGCGGCAGTCTTCAACACCACGCGTTTGACGGCAGGGGTTCTTAGAGTACCCTACAGTAAGTCTGGAAGCTCGTTTTGAACTTACTTCAACAGATGATTCAGTCTACCACGACATGCAATGGTTTTCAAAACAAAAGTTCCAGGCGTCCGTTTCGTCCATGGCCCGAAACGGGGTGGACGGGGTCTTATGTCTAGATGTTCAATCCACAAGAACCAACAAGTTTTTCTAAACCTCCACACTCTCCCCCCGCCTTCTTGGTTACAGAGGAGCTACACGCGAGCATGAACGGCAGCGAAATCGTCGCCACCACGGGCGATCAGCAGGCCACCGGCTGGGCCAACCTCGTCGTGTACAAGTGAGTGTGCTTCAAGCGCGTTAGCTCTTGCTACAATCGTTGGAGACAGAAATTCCGTGAGGCCGGTTTACCAAAGTTTCTTGCTCACGTCCGTTAGTCCTACCGCCCCCTTGGCCGCGTTTTCTGATAACTATGGAAACAAGCCCTTCGGCCCCTTCTTTTCTCCGTTGAATTTTTTGTCTCCCATATGCGTATTCACGCTCCTGATCCTCTCCCCTCAGCTAGCGCGGCGACTTCAGCCTCAGTTACATGGTAACCGTCTCACATGTCACCATCACCGAGGTGCCGGCCTCTCTCGCTCTCTCTTTGCCCGCCGTCCTCGCATCCTCTCTCTCTCCCCGCTACTTTCTCCCTACAGGTGGCGCGGCGACTTCAGCCTTAACTACATGGTGACCGTGTCGCAGCTCACCAACACCGAGGTTCCCGTGTCCGCCGCTATCCACGTGGCTCGGGCCCGCGCCAACGGCCCGGAAATCTTTCGCTTCGAGAAGGCTAACTGGCGCCGCTTTAACCCCAACGCGAAGCGCCTTGTAACGCGGACGACGCAGGGGAACAACTACATGCTTAGCGGAACGTACAGCGCGACGAGCGAGGATAAGATTGCATCGGGCGAGACTGTAAAGCAGCTGATTCTCGCGATCCTGAAGGACCCTAAGCAGTTCTACATCATCGTAAAAACGCCCGCGTACCCTCTTGGCGCCGTTCGTGGGCAGCTTACAGTTAGCAGCGACTAGATTACCCTCAACGTGCCCACATAAGAGGGGGATCAGTTAGCGGCCGAAGCAATGAGCAGAGCAGGAGCCTAGGCAGAAGACACCAGCAACCGCCGCAGGAGCAGCAGCAGCAGCAGCAACAACAGTCTGTGCCGGGGGAACTGCGAGGGTTCTCAACAGATGCTCCCCCTTTTCGCCCTAGAATTGCGGCGCAATCCAACAATTATCAAGCGGGGTGCCGGGCGACCGGGCGCGCGTAACCCAAATCTAGGATTTTGGCTGGGCGCGATGGATCTCCTCGAGAACGCGCCCTCCAAGCTATACACGGATAGTTTCTTCAATACTTAGGCCTTTAGTTGGCGATATCCGTTAGGCATACATAACGGAATGAGCGTTCTCTTTGTTATCTGCATTTAATCATCATACCCTAAGTATTTCCTTATGTGAAGACCATATATCAGGCCCCTGTGTTTATCAGGAAGTAATATGCTCTGCCTCAATGCCACTGAGTGGCGGTGATGGCATGGGGGCATCTCTACCCTTTCCCACCCCACCCCATCCATGGCCCTATTGCAGGGGCGCTGCCCATGCTGTACACCCTGCCAATTCCCTCCACACTCCATACTATGACATTATTGGGGGGATGCTGCCCATCTGTAACTGTAGCAGTTGCTATCACATGCGTAATCAGACTTCCAGTGGGTTTCATGTTTTCTGTCCTGGCTCAATGCCCTCTGGACCTCCAGTGACCCCTTTGGCAAGGTGTGTGTGAGGAGCGTACCAGGCATGTACATCTGATCTTTTAAGTGTTTTTTTGTGGGTTGGCGGCTGGAACTAAGGCAACACAATATATAGAATGAAATAAAGAAACATACACGAGCATTTCTTCAAGTCCCAGCACTCTCACGCTCCCCTCCCCAACCCACTTCCCCACTAACCCATTCCCCTTCCAGCCACCACCCCACAAGAATCAGCCATAACCCCTAGAAGCACTTTAGACCCCTCCTACATCCCTCACGTCTTTACTGAAATCGCCACTGCCGTCCCCTACTTGCCTATTTGACGAGCACAAAGGCTCTTAAGGCGGCGCCTCGAGGGCGTCTACTTAGCCTCAGCCATGAGCTTCTTGAAGTTGGTCTTGGACGAGTACACAGTCTGGGGCTTCCAGTTAGCGGGAATGACATTCACGAGGGTGATCTTTTCGAGGGTGTGTCCCGCAGTGAGGCGAACGCTCATCGCCTTCTTCGCGCCCACAACCTCCTTCGCCTCCGCGCCTGCGATCCCCCACACGGCGCTGCTGCCGTCGCGCGTCAGCTTCGCCCACTTCTTGCCGTCCGCGCTAAGCTCCACCTCGGTAAGCGTACCGGGGCCGGCCAGCCCCACCATCTGAATGTTGAACTTCTCCGTGGTAGAGTTGCTGCGCACGCGGACGCCCGATCCGACGGTCGAAAGGCAGTTGGTGCGCTTGTAATTGACGCCGACGGGGGCGGTGTCGGATCCCTGCACGATCTTGGACCATGAGACGGCGGAGAGCGTGAGCTGCTTCTCTGTGGTCGTCTCGCCAACGACGCGGACGGTCACGATCGCCTTGCCGCTGCGGCAGCGTTTTGTGTCGTTAGTGCACTCCACCTTGTAGCACGCGCCGCACCGCTTGCCAAAGAGCGCGGGAGGAAGCTTCGCCGTGAGCCCCTTGGCGAAGTAGGGGTTCGCGTTGTAGTTGCCGTAGTAGGCGCATGTAGAGTTTTTTCCTTCGCCCGAGCCCTTGCTCTGCCTCGCCGTCGCCATTCCGACGGCGCTGTTACCGATCTTAGTAGCATTTCCAGACTTAGTGGCGTTAGCAGGCGCGGCCGACTTAGCAGAAGCAGTCGCGTTAGCAGGCGCTGTCGCGTTGGCGGAACCCGCAGTGGCAGAGGCGCGGGCAGGGGCGGAAAGGAGCATCGCGGAAGCGATGACGAGGACAAGAAAAGTGGACTTAGCGGGTGAGTGGCCGAAGAAAGTCATTTTTGCTCTAGGTGTAGACGGTCAAGCTGGTGCTATAAGCAGCTCCTTCTAGGTAGGATGGTAAAGATGTCAGGATTTCGTGAAGAGATGAGCGATGGTGACTGCTCTTTCTACCCTACTTCGTGTTGCTTCGATGAATGTCACCGTGAGTCGCGCGCATGACTCACGCGGCTTTGGAAAAAATGGGTTGCTGGGTATGACCAACATTGTTTGCGAATAATTGTGGTGAGGTCGTGAACTATGAGTGATTCCGTTCACGAAGTAACGAAATCAGGTTCTAAAACCTCGTTCAACTCTTCGCGAAGAATAGTCTTGCGACACTGTATCATATGCACAACCTTGTTTCGGTCTCTCGCGCATGCGACGGCGCGATAAGCGCGAATCTCAGAGAGGATGTGATTATTGACTGTACTTGCTGTTGCATATTCCCTAGAGCTGCTACATGAGCACCTGCTATGATCTTACATGGTACAACTATTCAATGTACCTACATTTTCTCATATGCTTGCATCCACACTCCAAATTATAAACGATAATTGATTCCCTAGTATAAATCAGCGTAGTAGTAGCGTCTACCTTTAGCACATAATTTTGCCCAATGTTCCTGACTCTAATAATTGCCATAATATGACTCTCCTAGACGTGTAATGAAATGGCACCACCTCTGATATTCGAGATGCTATCGATGAGCTTTATTCAGGAGTATAATGCTACTACACGTCAGCCGAGTTGAATGCGGTGCGTCAGAGGGAGAGGAGGAGGATCCAATCCAATGTGCCACGAGTACCGAACCGCGTTTAGCCCAGCACGTAAAATGGCTGCTTCCGTGCCATCCCTGCAATTCTCACAAAAAAGGTTGTAAGTGCTACATTGGATTCCACTTGAGGTCGGATCTAATTTGCCGGGGGCGCAATCAGAAAAATGTCTCACATTTACAACAGAAGTGCCTCAAGCATCGAACTGCACGACGAACCACAAGGAGCAAGAGACCCACGGGCAACGGGTCGAGACAGGACAGGCACAGACGCGTGCCCTTTCGCTCGTTCCTTTTCTGAATTCGTGTTTTCCATTCGAGTCACCTCCCTTGACTCGCGACGTAGACCATAGCAATTAACCGCAGCCGTGAATGGAGCTCAAACGCAGCTCCACTCATAACGTCGTGTAGGCTTCGCGGTCTCATCTGGTTCGAGAGGGATCTTATTGTTCCGCCAGCGCCGGAGGGAGATTTGAATATCAAAGGAAGTAATAGTCAGGAGCCATATTTTTCTTGGACTACTGCCGACGACGTGACAACATTGACAGCACAGGCGTAAAATCGCGCCGAAACAGATAAGCAGCATGCGCGATACGACGTTTCCGGCCAACTCCGCACCTAATCGACGCCGGCGAGGCGCCTCGCCAACTCTTAGATTGGCCGCAACCCTACTAGGGACTCTTATTCTACCATCAATCCGTGAGTCCTCTTCCCTTGCAACTAAACCACAGCGAATGTTGAGATTTTACTGGCAAAGGCAGAAGTCCCTCACCTCCAGACCCCACATTCCTGATTCCCCATCCTTCCCTCACCTCCAGACCCCACATTCCTGATTCCCCATCCTTCCCTCACCTCCAGACCCCACATTCCTGATTCCCCATCCTTCCCTCACCTCCAGACCCCACATTCCTGATTCCCCATCCTTCCCTCACCTCCAGACCCCACATTCCTGATTCCCCATCCTTCCCTCACCTCCAGACCCCACATTCCTGATTCCCCATCCTTCCCTCACCTCCAGACCCCACATTCCTGATTCCCCATCCTTCCCTCACCTCCAGACCCCACATTCCTGATTCCCCATCCTTCCCTCACCTCCAGACCCCACATTCCTGATTCCCCATCCTTCCCTCACCTCCAGACCCCACATTCCTGATTCCCCATCCTTCCCTCACCTCCAGACCCCACATTCCTGATTCCCCATCCTTCCCTCACCTCCAGACCCCACATTCCTGATTCCCCATCCTTCCCTCACCTCCAGACCCCACATTCCTGATTCCCCATCCTTCCCTCACCTCCAGACCCCACATTCCTGATTCCCCATCCTTCCCTCACCTCCAGACCCCACATTCCTGATTCCCCATCCTTCCCTCACCTCCAGACCCCACATTCCTGATTCCCCATCCTTCCCTCACCTCCAGACCCCACATTCCTGATTCCCCATCCTTCCCTCACCTCCAGACCCCACATTCCTGATTCCCCATCCTTCCCTCACCTCCAGACCCCACATTCCTGATTCCCCATCCTTCCCTCACCTCCAGACCCCACATTCCTGATTCCCCATCCTTCCCTCACCTCCAGACCCCACATTCCTGATTCCCCATCCTTCCCTCACCTCCAGACCCCACATTCCTGATTCCCCATCCTTCCCTCACCTCCAGACCCCACATTCCTGATTCCCCATCCTTCCCTCACCTCCAGACCCCACATTCCTGATTCCCCATCCTTCCCTCACCTCCAGACCCCACATTCCTGATTCCCCATCCTTCCCTCACCTCCAGACCCCACATTCCTGATTCCCCATCCTTCCCTCACCTCCAGACCCCACATTCCTGATTCCCCATCCTTCCCTCACCTCCAGACCCCACATTCCTGATTCCCCATCCTTCCCTCACCCCCAGACCCCACATTCCTGATTCCCCATCCTTCCCTCACCTCCAGACCCCACATTCCTGATTCCCCATCCTTCCCTCACCTCCAGACCCCACATTCCTGATTCCCCATCCTCTCACTTTTCGTTATCCTGAGCTCGCTTTTCTTCCCTCTCAACCCCGCCTCTCCTATCTCTCCCCCTTCTCCGACGTGGCAGATCAGGAGCAGATCTCAACATCCGCTACCAAGTCACAGTCAGCCAGCTCAGCACGTCAGAGAAGCCCACGTCAGCATCCCTCCACGTGGCAGCCGCCACAGCCAATGGCCTATCCATCCTCAACCTCAACTCGTCCACGTGGATCCCTGCTGGCACTGCTGACAAGGCGTGGGGCAACGTGGGAAAACTTTTTGGACGGGGGAAGGGAAGGGGAAAAGGAAAGGGGAAGGGGAAGGGGACGGGGACGGGGACGGGCGGGGGAAATGGTTTCGCGCTTCAGGGCGTGTTCAAGCAGGCGAGCAAGAAGAGGATTCCGACAGGAGAGTCACTGAAATTACTGTTTTCGATGATCATGCGGGTACAGTAACTAACGTGCCACTCCTAACAAGGAATTTATCTCCACTAAACACCGTGTTGCTGTATTCCATTATCTCACTGATTCATGGTCAAGGCCGACAAAACTATTGTGAAAACGTATGATACCTTTCTCTCTCACTAGCTTGTGTCTCCCATTTGGGAGTCACTTTTGAGAATCTCACTTGCTTGTTCTCTCTCACTCACTTGCGTATCCCACCGGCTTCCCTCTCCCATCCCCTTCCCAACACCGCCCTCTCCATCGTATTCTCCCTTGATCTCTTCTCAGGTATACCCTATCATCCTCCTTCCACCTCTCACATTTCCTCTCACCCCCCTTCCACCTCCTGTTCACAGTCCCTCTCATCCCCTTTCCACCTCTCACATTCCCTCTCATCCTCCCTCCACCTCACATTTCCTCTCACTCCCCTTCCACCTGTTCACACTCCCTCTCATCCCCTTTCCACCTCTCACATTCTCTCTCATCCCACTTCCACCTCTCACATTCCCTCTCATCCCACTTCCACCTCTCACATTCCCTCTCATCCCCCTTCCACCTCACATTTCCTCTCATCCCCCTTCCACCTCTCACATTCCCTCTCATCCCCATTCCATCTCCTGCTCACACTCCCTCCTTCCCCTTCTTGACATTTCAGCTAAGTTCAGCCCTTAACACTCTCCACTCCCTTCCCAGTTTGCTCCTTCTTCTTCCCCTTCCCCCCTCCCCTCTCACCACCCCTTTCCCTCCACGTCCTCATCACCCCACCCTGCATAACCGCACACTCGCTCTTCACCCTTCTTACCCGTTCCCCTCTCTCCCATTCTCCAGATGCCCACCGTCCCCAGAATTTGTTTTTGAGGCACCTCACGAATAGACTTCTCCAGATGCCTGCCTCCTTCGTACATCCTTGTCAACACGCCCACCTTCACCAGCAGCGCCCTTAGGGGGGCCAGCTCCAAGCGCCGCTTTCCTCTCATCCTTCCCTTCAACCCCTGACCCTTTGCCTTCCTCCTCCCTTCCCTTCCCTTCCCTTCCCTTCCCTTCCCTTCCCTTCCCTTTCCTTCCCTTCCCTTCCCTTCTCTTCCCTTCCCTTCCCTTCCCTTCCCTTCCCTTCCCTTCCCTTCCCTTCCCTTCCCTTCCCTTCCCTTCCCTTCCCTTCCCTTCCCCCATTCGCAGATGCGTGCCCCCCTTCTCCGTGCTTGTCACCACTCCCGCCTTCCCCAGAAGCGCCCTCAGAGCCCAGCTCAGAGCGATAATTCGCACCTCCCCTCCCTCCACTCTCCCTTCCCTCTCTCTCCCCTCCTCTTGCCAGATGCCCGCCTCCTTCTATGTGCTCGTCACCACGCCCGCCTTCCCCAAGGGCGCCCTCAGAGCCCAGCTCAGAGCGAGATTCTCACATGCACTTTCACTTCCCTCTCTCCGCTTTCGTCCCCGTCCTCTCCCTTCCCCCCTCCCGCCTCCTTTCCAGATGCCCTCATCCTTTTATGTACTCGTCACCACGCCCGCCTTTCCCAAGGGCGCCCTCAGAGCCCAGCTTGAGGCGTCCCTATTCACTAAGCTCGCTGGCTGTAGCAGGGGGTTTGGGTGCTAGCAGGCTGTAGCAGGGGGTTTGGCTGCTAGAGGAGTGAAGTGAACGTGTGTTGTGGTGTGCAAATGGTGAATGGCCGATTGTTGGGCCCATGGTGGAGCACGGTGGCGCACGGTGGAGCATGGCGGAGAGCGGTGTTGCATGGTGACTTTTTGCTGAGCACCACCCCAGCGGGAAACTGAATCACCCCATTTCATCCCATATGCATGGCAGCTAGGGGCTCGTGTTGTATATATAGTTTGTCCGCTCTTGCTTCACTCATAAGAAGGTGCAGCGCAGTCACATCGTAGTTGCACGAGGGCACTGTGGGGCCTACGGAACCGCAAGTCGAATTGGTTCCTCACGAACCGTTGAGTTGAGTACTGTAACACAATTTCAGGCATGGTTCGAGTGTGTTTACCTTCAGATGCGCAGTGCTGGCTGTTATTGCCATCACTTATTATTTTCGTAGTGAGCTTGCTATTGTAGAGAGGATTTCAACTGGTGTGTGCCTTGACTCAAAGACGGTCGGTGGGAAGAAGCAAGCTTTTTCAATGTAGAGGTCGTACCAGCAGCTGTTGTCTGCTGCGTGTAACAAGTGCACAGGACAGGACATGATCTTGTATTCATATTGCAAACACTAGAAGCATGCAACAGGCTACTACGACAAACTTAATCCCACTGAGATTAACAAACCAACCCACACGCCGCGTATGGTAGAAGCAAACCAGAAACCTCCTAGCTACCGAACATGCAACATGCTGGAAGCTGCCTGGTCAGCTGAGACAAGGCAGCACTCCAACTGTCCACCCTCCCTTCCCAAACCAACACCCTAAGCTGGCTAGCTGCCGACTTTTATCTCCCTCCCTTACCCCCCCTCCACCTGTCCTGACACCTACACTACCCTCTCCCACCTTTCCCAACACCTGCACTACCCCCTCCCACTTATCACAACACCTGCACTACCCCCTCCCATGGTATCACAACACCTGCACTACCCCCTCCCACTTATCACAACACCTGCACTACCCCCTCCCATGGTATCACAACACCTGCATTACCCCCTCCCACTTATCACAACACCTGCATTACCCCCTCCCACTTATCACAACACCTGCATTACCCCCTCCCACTTATCACAACACCTGCATTACCCCCTCCCACTTATCACAACACCTGCATTACCCCCTCCCACTTATCAAAACACATGCATTACCCCCTCCCACCATTGGCCGCGGAATCTAATTGGCGCGAAACACAGAGACGGTGCGGGCGTTGAGGGGCTGCGGCAGCCGGTTGTTGGTGCGATCGCCGCTGTTGGTGCGCGATAGGAAGTTCATGTAGGTCGCCAGCTGGAAGGGAGGGAGAGGGAGAGGGAGAGGGAGGAGTGGAAGGAGGGATAAGGAGGGGATGGATGATGGATGTGCGGTCGCCACTGTTAGTGCCCGATAGAAAGTTCATGTAGGTCGCCAGCTGGGAAGCGGGAGAGGGAGAGGGAGGGAAGGGAGGAGATGAATGATGGTTGTGCGGTTGTTGCTGTTGGTATTCCAGTCACTACCACCAACGGGTTGGTCCGTGTTTTGAGGTGCCTCATAAGTTGTTGCCTGGTATGATGGTTGTGCAATGGTTGCCGTTGGTATCCCTGTCGCTAATAGCAACTGGTGGTGTGTCTGTGCGTGTCAGACTGAGAGCCTACCTGGCGTGTAGAAGTAATCCAATCAGTGCCCGCCACTTGTTAACGTCTCCACACACTCTTTACAGCATAACCTTTACACGCTTGCAGTCTCGTCCAAACCACCTCAGCAACTCAGCACCCAATTTTTTAGGCGCCTCGAAAGTCAACTAACTCGTTACAGCGCCACCTTAACGCGCTTGAAGTCTCACTTAAACCACCTCAGCAACCCAGCACCCCCACACCCACCTGGCAACGTGAGGATGCCTTTAGGGCACATCAACACATCAACACAAACCAACCACTAGAAACGAATCGCATCTGTTCCATCTCGACTTACTGTACTAATAAAAACTCTTTTTGGAAATCATGCATTTGCACGCGTGGAGATGAGGTTAGGGCGCGTGGCAATGAACCATCAGTGCGAATCGCTGCCACTGCACTTCCACATATTCACGACTCATGAGGCGCCTCAAAAGATGAGGCTACTTTTGAGGCGCCTCAAAAGATGAGTCTAGAGAGCATGGCAATGTACCATCAGTGCGAATCGCTGCCACTGCACTTCCACGTATTCGCGACTCATGACTCCCCCCCCCCCCCCCCACCCAGCACCCAGCAGCACGCACCTGGCGAGTGGAGACGAACTTGGATGGCATGGAGATGAATCAGTCGACCACCTCGTCGCAGGGGGTGCACCTTTTGAGGCGGCAATTAGAAAAGCATTGCGGGCAGAGTGGCAACCGTTGAGGCGCCAACATTCACACACCTGGCGAGTGGAGACAAACTTGGGGCGCATGGAGATGAACCAATCGACCGTCTCAGTGCAGGGCGGGTGCACCTGCGAGCCCTCGTAGTACCAGAAGGGTGTCTCAAACGACAGCAGCTCCAGGAAGTTGGTCTTCGCAGCTATCTTTGTTGTGCCATTCACTGCTGTTGGGATGTCCTTCAGCCAACTGGGGAAAAAGGAGGAGGAAGGGAGTAAAGATCAAACGCCAGCAGCTCCATGAAGTTGGTCTGTGCTGCCACCTTGGCCGTGCCGTTCACCGCTGATGGAATGTCATTCAGCCTGCTGAGAGGAGGGGGAGGAGAAGGGAAGAGTCAGGAGAGGAAGCAGGGTGGGTGCACCTGCGAGCCCTCGTAGTACCAGAAGGGCGCCTCAAACGACAGCAGCTCCAGGAAGTTGGTCTTTGCCGCTATCTTGGCCGTGCCATTCACTGCTGCTGGAATGTCATTCAGCCAGCTGGGGGGAAGGGGAGAGGGAGAGAGAGGGGAAGGCGGGCAGAGAGGAAGGGGAATCAGGGAAGCAGGTGAAGGCAGAGGCAGCTGGGTCTGTGGGCATTCGTGTGGCTGGCAGTGTAACGAGGGGACTTTTGAGCCAGCTCAATGAGTCACCTTGGGCGCGGCACAATGGGGTGCTTACAGGTTGAGCCACGCGTTGTCCTTTCGTGACGCGGGTGTGCAGCTTGAGAAAGGCGGTGAAGACGGCCTTTCACGAGCTTATATGCGCACATATGTGCTCACCTCACACCTCACAGGCTAAAATGTGCGCTCACATCACACTGCATGTGCTTACAGGTTAAGCCAGGCGTTGTCCTTGTCTTTGGGTGCAGGTTTAGGAAGACAGAAGAGACCACGAGCTTACATGCGCACAACCACGCGTGGCTAACAGAGCAGAAGGTTACACCTTAACTGCTCAGGTGGTGGATGCTTACAGGTTGAGGTGCTTACAGGGTGAGGTGCTTACAGGGTGAGGTGCTTACAGGGTGAGGTGCTTACAGGTTGAGGTGCTTACAGGGTGAGGTGCTTACAGGTTGAGGTGCTTACAGGGTGAGGTGCTTACAGGTTGAGGTGCTTACAGGTTGAGGTGCTTACAGGGTGAGGTGCTTACAGGGTGAGGTGCTTACAGGTTGAGGTGCTTACAGGTTGAGGTGCTTACAGGTTGAGGTGCAAATCTTCCAAACGACACGGAACGAAATGGAGCCACTTGTTGTGGGTGTGGAAAATAGTCTAATCTAGAGGACTAGCATAAAAAAAGGGGCATCCAACGCAGTGGACCAATCAAAGTGATGCGTTGGGCAGTTGTCCTTGTCTCTGGGGTGCAGCTTGAGGAAGACAGAGAAGACGGACTTGCGAGTGGAGTTCGCCACATTCACATACGCGAACTTGGCCTCCATGGGCGCCTGCACTCCGTCCACCAGGTGAATGCTGGGCACCTGCGAATGTGGGGGGGAGAGAAGGCAAGGAGCAGGCAAGGGTGCTGCTGATTACTGGGTACAGCGCAGGAGTCCCTCCCTGTGCGCCCCCCTGGCCTCCATGGGCGCCTGCACCCCGTCCACCAGGTGGATGCTGGGCACCTGTGGGCATGAGGAGAGGTGAAGAGCAGGAGTTCCACTTCAACAGCTCCTGCGAGGAGAGGTGAAGAGCAGGAGTTCCACTTCGACAGCTCCTGCGAGGAGAGGTGAAGAGCAGGACCTCATGAGATGAGACAAAGCCAAGGGTGCTGGTTATACACTAGAGTACAGCGCACCCCGTGAGCCCACTTTGCCTCCATGGGCGCCTGCACTCCGTCCACCAGGTGGATGCTGGGCACCTGCGCGCATGAGGGGGAGATGAGAGGGAGATGAGAGGGAGAGAGGGCAAGGGTGGTGCTGGTTACTGGGTTAGGTACAGCACAGGAGTCCCTACCCGTGCGCCCACTTGGCTTCCATGGGCGCCTGCACTCCGTCCACCAGATGGATGCTGGGCACCTGTGGGCATGAGGCGAAGTGTATGAGAAAGAGGAATGCGGAAAGGCAAAGGGCAGGGGTGGCCCTGCGTACAAAACTGCGCACCTACGAGAGCAATTTGTGCTTCAAGCCCTTCAAAAAACACGCCCATGAAAAAGGAAATACCCACCAGCAGCAGCACCCGTCAAATTGGTGCATCGTTTCGCCTCATCTGCAGGTCGGAGTGGTCAAGCTTGTGCAGCCCCGAGGGGAGAGTGAGGTAGTAGCGCTTGCCTGCTTGAGGCGACACACCCATCCCATCACATCACATGATGCTACAGACCCAGCAGCAGCAGCACCCGTCAGGTTGTTGCATTGCGTCACCTCACCTGCAGGTCGGAGTGGTCGAGCTTGTGCAGCCCCGAGGGGAGAGTGAGGTAGTAGCGCTTGCCTGCTTGAGGCGACACACCCATCCCATCACATCACATGATGCTACAGACCCAGCAGCAGCAGCACCCGTCAGGTTGTTGCATTGCGTCACCTCACCTGCAGGTCGGAGTGGTCGAGCTTGTGCAGCCCCGAGGGGAGAGTGAGGTAGTAGCGCTTGCCTGCTTGAGGCGACACACCCATCCCATCACATCACATGATGCTACAGACCCAGCAGCAGCAGCACCCGTCAGGTTGTTGCATTGCGTCACCTCACCTGCAGGTCGGAGTGGTCGAGCTTGTGCAGCCCCGAGGGGAGAGTGAGGTAGTAGCGCTTGCCTGCTTGTGGTGACACAGCTGGGTGGGGGGCGGGGGGAGTGAAACGAGGGATAAGGTGGAGGGGAGGGAGGCAGAAGGATGACATGATGCGGGGGTGAGGCAGTGATGGTGCTTGTTGCCTTTGCCTTGCAAAGTGGGGCGAGGCGAGGTTTGCATGCATTCGTACAGGTGGGTAGGTCGCACGAAAAGGGGAAGCACGGACGTGCAAGAATACAAGAGAACGATGCCCCTTGACTTGACACCCTTCGACATGACCTTTGAGTCGACCAGTAAAAAAGACCGAACGCTTTGAGAGATTGGGAAGGACTCGAATCTTCAAAAGCCAGCCAGTTGCTTGCCACCGGCGTGTTTCACTTGAAACCGCGAGGGGACGCTTCAAACTCGTTCTTTTTTGCCTCGTCCTTGCAGCCCCCAGTTTCCGGACATGTCAATTACCTCTGTCTGGCACATAACCAGATCCTTTGACGTCTCAACACGAAGAGCCTTTTGGGACTGAATAGTAACCACAGCTAACCGGCTTACCGGCAGCGTGCTCCTCGTTGGTGACGGTGATCTCGCGGCTCAAAGGGTGCTTCACTTTCAGCAGCGAGGGCCCATCGGCGTGCTTCACTGCGGATGTGACTATATTGATGGGGCTCTGCTTCTTGCCCGTCTGGCACAGACCCTGCACCGACGAGGGAAGGAAAGAGGACAAATGTGACTATATGAGGGGGCAGGCACGGAGAGAAGAGTGACTATATTGATGGGGCTCTGCTTCTTGCCCGCCTGGCACAGACCCTGTCAGGAAGAATCACGTAAGAGGAGGAATGTGACTAAATGAGGGGGCAGCTACGAGAAGCGTGACTACATTGAAGAGATTGCATAGTGGGATGCGACTATGTTGATGCAACGATTTGACAATGTGATTACGTGACTATGTTGAGCCGAAAAGACGGAGGTGCGAGAGGGGAAGTGGAAAAACGGCAGGTGACACAACCAGACGTTTGATTTCTTCAAGAAACAAGAGATGAAGGAAGAAAACATATAAGAAGAAAACGATTTGGAAGGCACTGAGAGGCAAAGTATCACCCAGCGGCAAGTCAATGCGTACCGGCCAGTCCGTGCCCGAGAGGTCGTAGTTAAACGACTCTCCCCCGACCGCGCGGATATTAGTGGCTCCCAGCAGGAGCCCCACGAGCGCGAGTGCAATCCACGGCGCCATGCTTCAGCTTGCCGAGTCGCGTGCAGAAAAAAACACACGAGTTGGCAGAAAAATCTGCGTCCGCCTGTTTCAGCTGGCAGCAAAGCTTCGATATGCGCAGCACCGATACTAGCACGCGAATGGTGGAAAAAACTGATGGTGGGACGACAGATGGTGAATGAGAGATGGCGGAGAAACTCGGTTTCGGCAGGATTGTAGGAGTAATGACCTCCCCTCGTAAATGCCTCCGATTATGTACGAGTGCGCGCGCACGACAATCAAGAAGCACTTGGTCTCGTGTATTCCAGGCTACTACAAGCTACGAATTACAGGGTTCATCTGATGGCGGCTCGCCAGCGCGGATGCAAGCGATGACTCAGCGCGCCGCGCCTACGGCGGCGGCACCGCGGGCAGAACAAACTACAAAGAATCATCGTTCCCTGAAAATGAGAGCTGAGCTTGGCCAGTAGAAGTTCGTGAAGAAACCAAATGATGTGGCCGAATTCGAGGTTGGTCGTCAACACATAAACAAGAAAAACATTTCATCAGCCCTACAAAAAAAGGGAAACTAGTGAAACTAACTCCTTAGAGAAGCTTCGAGCGAAAACTCCGAAAGACGAGAGGAAATCAGAAGCATCTGCAGCAACTGCGCGCCACAGCCTGGCGAAGGCTAGGCTAGAGTGGATGGACGGGACGGCCCTTCTCCATGTCCTTCTTTGCCCCTTTGAGATTCTCGATTGAATGGTGCTCGACAACCGCCCATCCAGTTATTTGTATTAGTATAACATTAGATACCAATAGAATCAAATGGTGACATTGTTTTTTGTCCCATATAAAGAGCATACGGTACATATCATTGGAGACTAGCTGCTGTTTTATTCACTCTATTCTCAGGTAGCTTGTTATTCGATCTATTCATCTTTGCGACCGGAAATAAATACTATTTTGGAGGCACCCACAAATAATAAAACGGCTACATTTGAGATTGTTTCGCACTACAACCTCCAAACTTTTACAGAGGCTTGCGAGCAAGGAAGAAATACATGGGTGTGAAAATCTCCCTCCTGCACACAAGGCATTCGAGCAGCAAGGCACACAGATAGGGCTTGGGAAAATGATGAATGATCGCCAGAGTGGGGGAGAGGAGAGAGGAAGGGGGTGATGGCAAAAATGAGGAGGTAGGAGAAGATGGGGGAAGAGAAGAGGAACTAGCAGGGAGAGAAAGGGTGAAATTGAAAGGGAGGGGTGGAGGAAGTTGAAGCCACCTATGCAGAGAGTGTTAGAGGGAGACATGCTTTCGAGTAATGCATCAGACAATCAAGGCCACTCACTTGCCGCCCTCCACGAGTGCGTCGGCCCCTCTCTCAAGAAACTTCTGCACGCGGTAGCTGCCAGCTGGCGCAATCCGCAGCCTCTCCAGCACTTGCACCTGATTGGCCGGGGACCACAGAGGCGGGTGCAACAGGGGCGAGAGGATATGGAAGGAATGGGAAGGGAGTGGGGAAGAGACAGGAGAGAAAGTAGGCTGGAAGCAGTGATGTGCTTTGGGGAGGGGGCATAAGTGAGAGGCAGTGAGTGGCGAGTGGATAAGACGAGGTGGTGGCATGGACAGCACAAATGGTGGGATAGTGCATGTCAAAGCAAGAAATCACGGAGTGATTGGGATTGGAAGAAGGGTAGCAAGGAGGTGGTGAGAGGAAGTGAGAGGGCACACACGAGGGTAGTGGTGAGGAAGCGGCCGACGCGGGTGAGCTTGAACTGTGAGAGCGAGAAGTAGCTGGGGTCCAGCGGCATGTGCCACGCCACCTCCGCCGTCTCCGTCAGATCCGCTGCCTCCAGTAGCTGCGCAGAGGGAGAGGAGGAAGGGAGAAGAGATGGTTGTGGTGTGAGGTGCACGGGACTGGCACAGAGGGAGCAGAGTATGTCACGCCACCTCCACTGTCTCCGTCAGATCCGCAGCCTCCAGGAGATGTGAGGGAGTGAGACCATGGGGAGTGTGGAGGGGAGGCAAGGAAAACAGGGGAGGTGATATGTGAGTGAGGAGGGTAGGACATATGTGGGTTGTGAGGTAGGTTTGGGCGAAAGGGGGGTGGGAGGAGGCCGGGATTGATGGAAGGGCCTTGAGCACACGAGCATGCACTGCATGCCCTCTGTGTGTATGCAATGCAATGGGTTCGCTCACCTCGAATCCGGCGTCCAGCAGCGCCTGGCGGACCTGCGCCGTGGTGTGGATGTCCGGCAGGCAACCCGTGGCATGGAATGGATGATACTGCTGTGCTGTAAACCCTATATATGCTCTGAGTGTGCACACAGCAATGCGGCCCATGCATGCATGTAGGGTGCATGAATGCAGTACATGGGGCTAAATCGCTCACCTCAAAGCCGGTGTCCAGCAGCGCCTGGCGGACCTGTGCCGTGGTGCGGATGTCTGGCAACCCGTTGCCCAGCTCCACCTCCCTCTGCACCCCTCCCCACCGCACCGAACAACGCCACACCAGGCAACACCGCAAGGAACAACACACATAGGAAAATTAGGAAGATTCTTGAGAGTCTGGATTTAATACGCCCTAGACACTGCAAAAGGGGGGAACAGATTGGAGAACGTAAGGGAGGGATCATGGAGACGAGGGACACACGGGCTAGAGGAGAAGAGCAAGGGGGAAAAATATCAAGTGGGTGAAGAGCAGAGATGGCGGCAGCAGAGAGAAGTATGCTAGGGTTTAAACGCGTGCAGGAGCAGAGTGGACACCAGTGATCCCGGGCGGACCTCATTGACCCGATTGTACTCTGAAGTTTGGTTTTGAGGCGCCTCAGTTTTGAGTTTTGAGGCACCTCAGTTTTGAGTTTTGAGGCGCCTCAAAACTAGAGTGGGCAGCAGTGAGCCGGGGCGGATCTCATTGACCCGATTATACTCTGTAGCTTGGTATGGTGGGGCCTTTCCTTGACCTCCGGGTGCTCTGGTTTGGTGGGGTCATACCCGCTCTTTCTCAGGCGCCTCAAAGATCGTCTCACCGCACACAAGCACTCTATAGCGGCTCTCTTCTCACCTTGACCTCTTGGTGCTGGGGGTTGTTGGGGTCGTAGGCGTCTGTGAGGCACCACTCATACGCCGCAAAGCACTGGCCCGGCTTCAGGACTCGCTTCACCTCGCTGTAGCACCCCACCTGCTCGGGGATAGGGTTTTGAGATACCGCATGCGCAGGGCATTTCTGACTTCGCATTTTGCGAATTCACGCCCGTCGTGCCTTCTGTCGACACTTCTTGAGTCATCACAGGCCAGGAGCACACTCACGGCATCAGGGGCGTGGCAGGTGGCTTCGACGGCATAGACAGTGTCAGAGGAAGGGATGCGTCAGGCACGGGGATTACATTTCCTCTCACAAGACTTCATGCACAACACGGTCCACGCACAGTCAAGAGTGTACTCACAACATCAGGCGCGTGGTACTCACAACATCAGGCGCGTGGTACTCACAACATCAGGCGCGTGGTACTCACAACATCAGGCGCGTGGTACTCACAACATCAGGCGCGTGGTACTCACAACATCAGGCGCGTGGTACTCACAACATCAGGCGCGTGGTACTCACAACATCAGGCGCGTGGTACTCACAACATCAGGCGCGTGGTACTCACAACATCAGGCGCGTGGTACTCACAACATCAGGCGCGTGGTACTCACAACATCAGGCGCGTGGTACTCACAGCATCAGGCGCGTGGCAGGTGGCTTCGATTGCGTAGACGGCGTCAAAGGAGGCATCGGGCACGGGGATGCTCATGACGCCAAGAGCAGACTCACAGCATGGGGGGGCTGCTATTTACGGCATCAGGCGCGTGGTACTCACAGCATCAGGCGCGTGGTACTCACAGCATCAGGCGCGTGGCAGGTGGCTTCGATGGCGTAGACTGCGTCAAAGGAGGCATCGGGCACGGGGATGCTCATGAAGTCCGCCTTTATGAACCCGCACGCCTCCAGTGCGCGGTGCCGCCTGTTCAACACCTGGTGAAGTCGGTGGTGGGGTAGTGGAAGGAGAGGGAAGGGGCGATGTTAAGGGTGGAGATTATAGAAAGGAGGCGCCAGACACAGAGCTGCTCACGAAATAAGCCTTTATGAACCCGCACGCCTCCAGCGCCCGGTGGCGCCTGTTCAACACCTGGTGAGGTGGGGTGCATGGAGTGGATGGGAGGGAGATGGAGGGGATGGAGGGGATGGTGGGGTGCCGACATGGTGCGAGAGGATTGAGGGGGTTTGAGGGGGGGGGGGGGGGGGGGGTTGAGGACATGTTTGGGGAGTTGGTTAAGGATGGATGGATGGAGGGATGGACGGCCGGCCGGCCGGACGGACGGACGGACGGACGGACGGATGGATGGATGGATGGATGGATGGATGGATGGATGGATGGATGGATGGATGGATGGATGGATGGATGGATGGATGGATGGATGGATGGATGGATGGATGGATGGATGGATGGATGGATGGATGGATGGATGGATGGATGGACGGACGGACGGACGGACGGATGGATGGATTGGGAGGCTACCTTGCCACGGGAGATCTGGTACTCGTTGTTGTTGAGGCCCGTCACTGTGGCTCCACTGCGTTGTGTTGCACACAGGGAGAGAGGGGAGGAGACAGGGAGCGCGCAAGTGAGGAGTGGGCAGACAGACATACAGCAGGGTGCAAGCAACAACAGGGTGAATGACGCAATTAAAACGGATTCGACAGAGACGCGCAGTAGCACAGAATGAGGCATGTAGAAAGCAGGCAGGGCGGAGGTGGGAGGGGAGGAAGGAGATGGTTTTAGTAAGAAGATTACAGGTGGAGTAAACCCCACGGAACTAGCAATAACTGTGGTAGCAAGAGCAATAACGCACGGAATGAGGAAGAACTGTGGTAGCAATAGCAATAATCCACAGAAGGTTCAAATAGACCCTGGGTGGGGTGCATCGTACAGTGGTGTGATCAGCGGTGGAGCTGAATTAAGTCGACTCAAAACATACACCTCCATCAGCAGACACTTTCTCAACACTGGACAGCAGGCAGAGGCAGAGGCTGTGGGTATACCTGAATAACTTTTGAGGCGCCTCAAAAGGCTGTGGGTATACCTGAATAACTTTTGAGGCGCCTCAAAAGGCTGTGGGTATACCTGAATAACTTTTGAGGCGCCTCAAAAGGCTGTGGGTATACCTGAATAATGCGATTTCTCTCAACGGCTGTGGGTATACCTGAATAATGCGATTTCTCTCAACGGCTGTGGGTATACCTGAATAATGCGATTTCTCTCAACGGCTGTGGGTATACCTGAATAATGCGATTTCTCTCAACGGCTGTGGGTATACCTGAATAATGCGATTTCTCTCAACGGCTGTGGGTATACCTGAATAATGCGATTTCTCTCAACGGCCCACCGATGCCGCACCCCACATCCAGCACCTGAGGTGGAGGGGGTGAGACGAGGAGCAAAAGCCAAGGTGTCAAGAGGAGGAAGGAGTGAGGCGAGATGTGGAGAGGAGGAAGGAGTGAGGCACGACACTGTGCATGGGATGGGAGCCGGGGATATGAGAGTCAGGGAAAACAGGATTCCGGAAAGGGGAGGAAAGAAAAGCTGAGAAGCCAACTCATGCCCCATAAAAAATGAAAATACACACTTTCACGCCCCCTGGAAAAATTATGCGCACACCTTCATGCCAGGGCCCAGTCCTAGCCGGAGTGCCAGGAAGTGCTCGTGGCGCTTGATGCTCTCCCGTAGCGTCTCGCCCCTCATACTGACGCACGCAGCAGCGAGGCAACAGGATGCAGGGAGGAGTGGCGAAGTGGAGGGGAGGGGTTTTTCAGGTATGGAGCCGCAACAAGACCAGGGGACTTGAGAGAGGCACGCAATGCAATGCCATCGCGGCGCTGCGAGGGAGACCCGTGCAGTCTGATTCGACAAAGCACGCGCAGCCAGGATGAATGGATGAATGGATGAATGAATTGATGCTGGAGTGCAGTGGTTATGACAGAACATTGGCCGGTATCGTTCCTATGAATCAAGATCCTATATTGTTCCAACAGTGAGTGGTAGCGTGGCTAGTTGGCGAAGCTCGTACCGGTGAGCGAAGTGGAACGATTCGCCCCAGCCGTACTCGTAGAAGCTGGTTACCAGATCGTAGTACTTGTTCACCTGGGCGTGTGTGTGAGAGGGGAGGTGGGTCGGGCGAGGAAGCGAAGAAATGGGCGAGTTGGGGTAACGGCACAAGGCGAATCTTCGTTACAGTTCGGTTCAATGCTAATCATTGAGTGCATTATGCCGTGGTGCAGCCATTGTTCATCAAGAGTTGTGTAATGCCCACATCGGTAAACCCCCGACGCCATGCTGTGTGCATACCAGCTACTGAGAACAGTTACACACCAGCTACATACCATGTCCGTATAGTCGGACTTGCGCGCGCTGTCGCTCCCTCCGATGCTCATTCTTGAGACACTTTTGAGAATTCTTAGAACTGTCTCAAAACATCCGCACTCGCCCGGCGCCATGCTGCGTACATACCATGTCCGTATAGTTGGACTTGCGCGCGCTGTCGCTCCCTCCGAAGCTTTCGTGGTAGTTCTCATAGCTGCAGCGGGGATGGCATGGATCAGAAAGTGCTATCAGACAGGCTTCGCGCATCAGAAGAAAGGCTTCGCGAACCAGAAGACGCGCGGGATTGGAATGCGCGAATGCCGTCATGAGCGGAAGGATACGTAAAGATTTGGTGATGGCAAGGCATTTGCACTCGTGTTATTTCTGCTAACAGATAGATCATATTCAACAATCAGTTTCGCGTAAGACTGGCTTCACTAATCTTCAAGCTCGAAGCTCCGTTTCGCTTGAAGGCGTTCGGATAATGCTGGTCATGGCACTCCCCGTTATATGAGACTGAACGTTCATGCCTCCTTTCAGTCGAAGAATGCTCAATGCGATCATGCAAAGGGATGCGAAACTCGAGCCTTTGCGAGGACCCAGAAACAACCTTCTTCACCCTCTCTTTCCTTATCCGTTTTAATTTAAAAATTCTCAAAAGTGATGCAATCGTAACTCGAGCCCTTGTGAGGATCTTACCTGGAAACCGCCTTCTTCACTTCTTCCTTCTTTATCCATCCGCCTGTTTTTGTCGCCAAGCCAACTGCTCCCGTCAGGCTCTGCGTCTCTTCCGACATTGTGGCTTCTGTGCTGCTGAGCAGGATTCTAGGAGGCCACTAAAATCTCTCCAAGTCCGCAAACCACGCTTGCGAATCTAACCCTGACCGTATCTTACATCAGCTTGCTTTGGACGTGCAAGTGACGGCAAACGCCTCAACCTGATCCGTGTAGCTAGCAGACTCAAGTCTAAACAGGAAGACGGATGACCAGAATGGAAAGTGAGGAATCTGTGAATTGTGCTGGATTGAGGCCACAAGGATGATGGAGTCGAAACGAGGTTTGGCCATGGATTCCTCACGTACCCCATTCTGCGCTCCATCCAACATGATGCGTTGGAGCAAACTTGAGGCTTTCCATTGGTTGATCCAGTCCAGCGTCTGATGCCTAGATCTCGTGGTGAGGGAGGTCTTCGCGAAACTCGCTGGAATCAGGAAACCATTCCCGCGCATCTAGAAACTTTCGCAGGAACCAGCTGTGCCCCTTCCAGGCGATGGATTTCTCGTGTGCGGCTCGATTCAAGTCCCAGCTTGCTGGAGGCGATCGAGAGGAAATAGCAAACCGCCATGTTTTCTAGTTTTCGATTTTAATGCGCAGTGGTTTTGACAGCGCATTGCTTTGTGCTCGCGCCCAATTCCTACGGGCAGTTTATTTCGCCTTTCCACAATTCCCGTGACCAGACGCGTAAAAGGGCAAGCACGAAGATTATATGATTTCAGTTCAGTTCCCAGTGGCAAAACTAAACCCCTTTCGGATGACAAGCCATTTGGGAGGCATCATCCCTAAGCATCTTTCCTCATGGTGTTTAGGGTTATGTAATGAATTTTCTCGACATTCCTTACCGCGACGAGCAACATCGCGTACAACAGCAGTTGTTGTTCGCCCGTTACTGCTAACAGGGCCTTGCCAACTTCGCGCGCACTGTTTCACCAAACCTTGCATCGCTGGCACAGCCGATTCGGCCTACGCTTCGAGACTAGCCCGAACCTCCATACCAGCATAGTACTAGCTAGTTCGCACGCACCGCGTAACCGTTGCATATTTTCGCCCTTAAGTATTCACTCATGCATTCACTCATACTTTGTACTCTTTTGACACTCTAGTGCAATCCTCTTTACTTCGTTCCATTGCACCCGTAACACTTGGTATCAGAGCCTCTTTCTTTTCGGACCTCGCATCTCCGCACTCCAGGAAATCAATTTTTGATTTTTCACTTGAAGGGACTCACGCCCATTAGCACCTAGGAGCCACTGTCACCGCGTTCTCTCGTAAACGCGTGTAGCCACGACTGCCCCTAGACTAAGCTGAGCCGACGCCCTTCGACATGGCTGAGCACATTGACGTCACGAGCCTCACGTAGGAGCGTTTGAACGAACTGCTGCAGCAACTTCGTGAAAGCTCTAAAGAAATCGCGGCGCTGACGGCAGAACGAACATCCCTGCAAAATGACGTCACACGGGCACAACAAACACAATCGCAAGCATAAGGCACACCCAGACAACCCGCACCACAAGCATCACAGCACGGAAGTGTGGGGCAACCTGCGAGCGCGGCAAGTGATGGCGTCGTCCGCAACGACGGAGACGACGACCACGGCACGACACACCCCGAAGCGACGAATACGGCCATAAATCAATATTGCGTCACAATTTCAGTGCCGACCGACGAGTCAACATTGCAGTCGCCGATGCCGCTGAAGCCGCAGTGTCCACCATGCTTTGACCCGAGTCAACGTGGTGGTCCTACCGTTCAGGCGTGGTTATTCACGATGAAACATTTTCTTCGACGCTAACTACGTCTTGGAGGATACGGTGAAGATTAGCTACGTTGTGTCGCTGCTGCGAGGACCCGCCATGGACTGGTGGCGTGTCATCGTCACGAAGCCGACGGAATAAGCGATTCTAGCGACACCGGAAGGACAAACCGGACCCTGGGCGCCGTCGTATTTCGTGGAGGTGCCCCAATATCGCACGTGGGACGCGTGGTGTGCAGGTCTGCGTGCTCGAATTGAGCCAATTGCAGCTTTGATAGCTGCGCGTCAGAAGCTCCGCACTTGGCGCCAACTCGGTTCCGTCCAGGATCACACCAGCGGGCTCCTGGCGCTGTGTGAGCAGGTGGGATACATGCACGAGAGCGGGCGCATCGACCGCTACATCGGCGGCCTGAAGCACGAAATCGCTCAGGAAATCAAGCTCCGCGGCGTCACCGATTTTCATGAGATTCTCGCTATGGCGGAGAAGCTCGACTTTTTCCGCCGACCGAGACCGAGGTCCTATGGAAGTAGCAGCAACTAGGGACATCGGTCTCGTGGGATGAACGAAGGTGCCACGATACGAGCCGTCGCCGCGAATGCCACTGCCGCACCGTTGAAAGGGCGCTGCTTCGCGTGCAATCAACCGGGACACCGCAAAAGCGAATGCCCAGAAAACGCTAAGGGAAAGGGGGAAGCTGGGCAGCAGAAACAGACCAAGCAGTAGGGAAACGCAGGGAGTCAGTAGCAGACGAGGGTAACTTCACGTTTAGCCAAGAAATGCTCGCAACGACCCTCGACGGAACCGACATTTTACTCGGCCGTGATTGGCTGCGACGACACAACCCGCGAATTGACTGGACGACAGGTGACTGCATGGTGCGAGTGAACAGTAACAGCATCGCCTTACCTCGCTGGGGCTCGCCCGAATCTTCGTCGGTGCGTGGCAACGCAATCACCATGAAATGCGTTGTAGCAGGAGAAGCTGACGTGTGCGCGGTTGACATTCGGGAAGCCGAGGCAACAGACAAGGGAAGCGATTTGGGGAAACTGCTAGCTGATGTACTGGATGACTTGGGAATTTTCAAGACGATCTGCTGACAGGACTGCCACCTCAGCGACCGCACGACCACAGGATAGAACTAGAACAGGGGGCACAGCCGACAGTGCAGCGACAGTTCCGACTGACCGAACCCGAACTGGACGAACTGAGAAAGCAGCTGGATTACCTGCTCGAGAACGAGTTCATTCGACCGAGTTCGTCACCCTTCGCAGTGTCAGTAGATCTGCACTGTGGATGCCCGATTGATCCTACGGGGGGGTACAGGCGCGTTTGCCTTGGGGGTTATGGGCGCACAAACCCGCTACGCAAACAAGCCCTTTTATCCCAATGGTCTAGTGGTTGGGATTCTGATATAGTTTCCGAGCGAAGGTCTCGGGTTCGAATCCCAGTGTGTGCACTTCGGGCATCCCAGTTGCAGGGGGGTGTCAGAGGTCCACTGGTGATCCCCGATTGATCCTAGGAAAGGGTTACAGGCGCGTTGGGCTGGGGGGTTATGGGCGCACTCACCCGCTACACAAACAAGCCCTTTTATCCCAATAGTCTAGTATTTGGGATTCTGACATGGTATCAGAACGGTCTCGGGTTCGAATCCCGGTGTATGCACATGTAGGCCGTGTCAGTAGATCTGCACTGTGGATGCCCGATTGATCCTAGGGGGGTTACAGGCGCGTTCGCCTGGGGGGTTATGGGCGCACTCTGACCCGCTACTTAACAAGCCCTTTTATCCCAGTGGTCTAGTGACTGGGATTCTGACATGGTATCAGAGCGAAGGTCTCGGGTTCGAATCCCAGTATGTGCACTTCGGGCATCCCAGTGCGGGGGTGTGTCAGAGGTCCACTGGTGATCCCCGGTTGATCCTAGAGAAGGGTTACAGACATGTTGGCCTGGGGGGTTATGGGCGCACTGACCCGCTACTTAACAAGCCCTTCTATCCCAATGGTCTAGTGACTGGGATTCTGACATGGTGTCAGAGTGGTCTCGGGTTCGAATCTCGGTGTATGCACATGTAGGCCGTTGCCGCTGTGCTCAGTCCTGGGCCTCCCAGTGTGGGGAGGTGTCAGTAGATCTGCACTGTGGATGCCCGATTGATCCTACGGGGGGGTACAGGCGCGTTCGCCTGGGGGATTATGGGCGCACAAACCCGCTACACAAACAAGCCCTTTTATCCCAATAGTCTAGTGGTTGGGATTCTGACACGCAGCACCGATACTGTTCACACCGAAAAAGGACGGGGGATTTCGCATGTGCATAGATTACCGCGCACTGAACCGAGTTACCATCAAGTCGCGTTACCCCATCCCGCGAGCCGACGAACTGCGCACAGCCTGGGTGTTCTCGAAAATCGACCTTCGGGGAGGTTACCACCAAATCCGCGTCAACCCACCTGACTGCCCGAAAACAGCTTTCCGAACACGCTACGGATCCTTCAAATACACTGTCATGCCTTTCGGACTGACCAACGCCCTCGCCACTTTTCAAATGACCATGAACGAAGCCTTCCGCCTGCTTTTAGATAAGTGCGTCACCGTGTACGTAGACGACATACTGATTTACAGCACCGACAGAGCACAACACCTACAGGACATCGAAGCAGTTTTAAAATACTGAGTGAGAACCGCCTACTGACGAAAGCCTCTAAGTGTGAGTTCTTTCAGGACAGGCTGGAGTTTCTAGGGTACGTTATTTCAGCTGATGGAGTGGAAATAGACCCGAAAAAGATCGCGATGATTCAAGCATGGCACGCGCCGACAAATTTGACCGAGCTGCATAGTTTTTTGGGGTTCATCAACTACGTGCGCCGGTTCATCCCCGACATGGCGAAGTTGACTGCTCCGCTGACCGACCTGCTGAGGAAGGGGGTTGAGTACACGTGGGGGGAGAAAGAGCAAGTTGCCTTCTCGGCCCTCAAAAATATTTTGTGCTCACCGCCCGTGCTTCACATCGCAGATCCGCACCGCCAGTTCGAAATCGTCACCGACGCAAGTGACATCGCCGTGGGAGCTATACTGTTGCAGGACTTCGGGAACGGCCTTTAGCCAATCGCGTACGAGTCCCGCAAGCTTCACCCGCCCGAACGCAACTACCCAATACACGACCACGAGATGCTGGCGATTGTGCACGCGTTCAAAGTGTGGCGATGCTATCTCACCGGAGTAGACGTGACAGTACGGACACATCACCGATCACTACAGTACCTCCGCGCCCAA